GCCACGGCACTCTAGCCCGGGCAACACAGTGAGACTCTGTCTAAAAAAAATAAATAAATAAACATTTAACTCAGATCTGTAGGAATACAAACCTAATTAAAAGGAGCCAAATTAGGTTAAATGCCAGTTTATTTAACAAATGTGATATTTCTTTTGCCTTGTCTGTCACATTAGACTGCCTTCCCTTCCCAGGAAAGCATTTCCTATGTCTGTAGAGCCTTTGCTTGTGCCCACCTGCTCCCCTCTGGTTTTCAGTATAAATTAACTAAAATAAAATATTTCTTCTTTCTGGGTTTGTACTGTTCTCATTTTAGTTTTGTTAAAAGTACTTAAGTCTCTTCTTAAAAATAGTGACCATATTTTCCTGTGCGCCAGAACATTCACCTACATTACCTAATTTAATCCTTAAAGTAGTCCTGGAGTATAATAGTATTATTCACATTTATAGATGAGAAAACCAAGGTCCAGAAAGAAAAAGAAATTTGCCCTGAGGTCAAACAGCTAATAATCCAAGTCTGCCTGACATGAAAGCTTGCTCTTGAAACACGAATCTTTGCTTTCTTCCGTGTCTTCATGCTTTTCCCTGATTCTTCAGCTGTTTCTCTCATGTCCTGGCCCTGTCTTCCTTGTCTGGCTATTAATAGTCCTTTATTTATTTTATAGTCCTATACCTTTTCATCTTGCATAGTTTTCTAATCATCCTAAATCCTGTATTTTATTATAATGTATTCTAAATGTATTCCATATCATTCATTTATAAGACTGTACCTTAATCCTTTCCATGAGAATAGGTAAGTATTCTGTGATACTTCTGTTTGTTTCTATGTATAGCAAGTACTGGTCAGAATGCTGCATTGAATAAAATATAGATGGGAATTAATGTTAACGGAAAGCATTGGTTTTAATACAAGTTCAATCCTTAGAGAAAAGTAGTATTGATTATTGATGCTGTGGAAATCTTTTTTTCATTGTTATCCTTTCTTTAAAAAAAGAAAGGGCTGTTTTACTTTAAAATTAAGCTAGTATTTTAGGGCACCTAAAACTTAAGTGACAGTGTTGTGTTTCTTTGTTTTTATTTATTCTCTTCGGTGGATTTAGAATTGCCTATGTGACACTTCTAAGATATTTTAAAGCAAGAATATTTTGTTTGCTTAAATAATTAGACTTGAGAGATTGTGTAAGAAATAATGTACCCCTAGAATAAACTTTAGAGACTATAACTTTTTTTTAATTCTGTTTTCGTTCTGGTCCTTCTTATCCTTCTGTGTTTAAAGACCTCCTTACTTTGTTGCTTAAACCCGGCCCTGTTGTTATCTACAACTTACCATACTTTTTTGTTTGGATTTAGACCCAACTCCATCCTTTGCCTAGAGAGTTGCCAAGATTTTCTGGAGAAAGGGAGAGAGAGAGAGAAATATAGAACACTTGGCTATGGCGTGGCTGTGCATCATGGGATGCGTATGTTAGTGTCCACTGAAGCTGGCAAATTTCAAGGACTCCCTAAACACTCATGTTCACTTTCTCTACAAAACCAGTAGAAACTAAATATAACTATTTCATTATGATGAAGTAGAATCACTTAGATGTATAAAACTTAATTAACATTTTATTGCCATTTTCATTATTACAGTTGTCCTGTTTTTAAAAATTTCTGTAATATTTTAATTGTTTAAATCACCACTTGGAATTGCTTCTGTTATTCCTTAGTGCATGGAGAATAGAAGTGCTTACTATTTAAGTATCCTCACACTTTAAAGTGATATGTGACATTCTTTTGAAGTGATGGAGGCCTAAGCCAGTCACAAGATGACAGCATTGTGGGAACAAGGCACTGTAGGCACAGTCTGGCCATCATGCCGATTCCTGGGACGCTTTCCTCCAGCAGCCCTGATCTCCTGCAGCCCACCACCAGCATGCTGGATTTTTCCAACCCTTCAGGTAATGCTCGTATGCGATTTTGTGTAGCCATGTTGGTACCAGATGATCAAGTAGATGGTTGAGCCTTGTGTAGTGAATATTAGGTTTGCTTGCAGCCTCTTCTCTCACCTGTAGATTATGGCTTGATACAAAAAGCTAGAGGGAAGATTATGTCTTTTTCTCTAAACTCGAACGGTACTTTCTCTGAAATGAAACAGAAGTACATGAAAAAGGTATCTTTTTGTAATCCTAATCCTAGCAGTGGAATGACAGCAGAGACACTTCTTGTCAGCCAAGAAATATGCTGCCCAGGGTGTGGAAAAGAATAAGGCAGATTATTTTAATCTACGTGACCTCACTTATTTTCCTCTGTAATATACAAAAATGTGTTAGTAATTTTCTAAAAACACTGATTTTCCCTCCAACACCCGAAGCTAAAGTCGTGGATTTGTCATGCAGTGTTACCATAGTGTCACAGCACCTTTCCACTGTTGCTCAGACTCGCAGCATGGAAAGTCAAGTTAGTTTTTTGTGTCTGTTCATGCCAAGAGGCATAAATTATCAATTATATAATCTAAAAATTTCATTTCAAGGAAGAAGACCTTTGACTTTGAAGAATCAATTATATATCCATCACTTGAAAGGATTTGAGATGGTTTTCAATAAAAGACACTTAGAGTTAAAGATTGAAATATATAATTGGGTCCAAGGAAAGGTAGGAAAAAAGACTTCTACAAAAAATCAGCATAGTTCTGATGCAGCTTCAGTTTTGACTCTAGCAGCTGGTGTAAAAAGAGAGGAAACTCAGTTACATTAATCTCAGTATTAGAAGGAATTACAAGTATAGTAGGAAAGTTTATGTTTATATAAAGTAAATTAAAAACCCCAGGAAATAACATACTATAAAACTACAATTTAGTGAAGGTCATTCTGCACTTTGTTTCTTCCTTTTATTTTCGTTGCCTCTTAACCACTAGAAAGATTACTAAACCAAATAATCTTTCTTTACACATCCCACTTTCCACATGGCTACTAGTGTTCTTTCTAGAACAAAGATTTTAATGAGTCATTACTTTAGTTAGAAATTTCTAGTGATTTCTGTATTAGCGAGAGTTCAGTCATGGGATAAAAACCACTCTAGTTATTTGTTCAGAAGTTAATACAAGGCTTGTTACCAAGATATAAAAAAGTTAATCAACTATTTACCTGAAAGGGTAAAAAAAAAATAAAAAAGCAAGCACTAAGGTATCACAGAGGTAGGAAGACTGCAGACTGGATTTGGTTTTTGATACGTGCAAGAAATGCCCCACCAAGGTGGCAGGAGCATTGCTGGGATGAGCCTCCTTTCTAGCTCCATGTACTGCCGTTCTCCCCCGTGACTTCACTCCTCTTTCCTGCGTATGGAGCGTACCTTCAGGACTCTCTCTCTTTGCCCATATTGTTTGCCACCTGCGGTTCTCTCCCTGCATATCCAGTGAACTTTTTCTTACTTGTCAATGCTGAACTCAAACGTTATCTCACCTGGGAAGCCCACCTCTGTCTGCTACTGAGTCAGTCCCTCCTTCTTCAGAAGTTTCCAACACGTTTTCGTGGTCTCCCTTTTATTGTTTGCTTTATGGCAGGATAGGGATTTATTTCTGTGTGTGTGTGTGTTCTACTGTGGTACTTTTTATACTACATAGAAGATTAAAAAATAAAATGTTTTCACATTACCAAAGCACAAATTAAATATGCATACTGTCATGACAAGTATTAGGGGCCTTATGATTTGTGATGGCTGTATCTTTGCCATAAGCATATGTAGGAAGTAGGGCTGAGGGAATAAGGGATAGAATTGTAG